TATTCCACAACCAAGAAAAGAACGTACAGAAACAACATATACGAATTCAAGATGGACACCATATGTTAAAGATATCATGGAGGTAATAAGGAAAAATCATTTCGAGTATACTAAAAGTTATTATGACGAAAATTTTTAATTTCTTAGAGAAATTTTCTCTGATATTTGATTATTCTTCAAGAATAAAATTTCGATAAGAATTTGGCCTAAAACTTTGCCCATAGACAGCTCTTGAAGTTATTAATATCTTTGTCAGAGTAGCACTCTGAGAGAAAAATTAAATATTTGTAATCATTGTAAAAATCTGTATCGAATGATGCATTTTCTGTTGATTTTACAGAAATTTCGGGTAAGAGTTTTGTTTTGTCAGTCTTATTTTTCAATAATATCAGAAGCTAATATTTCTACGTGCTCGATAGAAATAGCCCACTGTAGACCATTATATTAGATTACATTTTGTCTTCTATATGTTTCCTCATTGTTTTTCTTCTCCTCATTCATCAAGGTTTTTACTTCAGTTCTGACACTAGAGGTATAAGCCGATCAATGTATCGGCTTATACTTTTAACTAGCATCATGTAATTTTTGATTATTTGACATAAAATCTAAGTGATGAAAACTATTCCAAAGCTCTTATCGAAATCTTATTATCATTATTTTTACTATCAGATCAATATAGAAAGAAAGTTTCTTTAAGAAATTAAAATATTTCTGTCGTTACTTTTGTTATCATTTAAGTAAAATGAAATTTTTTGGCAAAAATATTTTCTTTAAAGGATATTATTGATGATAAATTGGATCAAAGACAATTTCCGTCAGTTGGTGGTCAAAGAAATGTTGCGGCTAATTATGCTGCACAAAGGTAAATTTGAAATGAATTTATTCATAAATTATAATTTATCGTAGTCAAATTTTTTACAAAAAATTATAATATTATTTATTTTGAATGATTGTTTACAATCGAACGATAAAGTAATTTTCTAAGAAAATTGACATTCTGTCTATTTGAAAGTACAATTAAATGATCATATTAAAGTCATTTTTTTGCGATCAAAATGAATAGAATTTTCATAATAAAACATTTTCCAAACATTAATTTCATCATTTATGATAATTTAATTAGTATAGAAAATATGTTTAATCAAAAATTTCAAATCGATTGACATGAATGATAAATTCTAAGAATTCTTCATTCTCCTAAGATCATTATCTATTACACATATTCAAATTTCTTTTCTAAAAAGTTTATTCAGTATATAGAATCAACTCATTTCTCTTTCGAGAAAAAAAATATATATTTCAAAGATGTACATCGAGTCTATAAAACCGGCAGGAGCGGCACGATCGTTCCATACTTAACAAACGCGAAGCTGTTAGGATGCACATCTCTGGTTGTGGCGGAATAATTTAATTAGAAAAAAAAAATTATAGATTAATTTTATTTATTATTGTTGATATTTATAGTTCTCGAGAATTTGGTGGTTGGATACATAATCGTAAAGGTGCAGTTCGTTCAGGTCCACGTTTAATTATCTTTATTCTTGGTGGTGTTAGTTATAGTGAACTTCGTTGTGCATACGAAGTAACACAAAATAATAATAAAAAATGGGAAGTATTTATTGGTAAGTATATCATAATATATTCTTATTTTTGTGTATAAAAAAAAAGAAAATAATTATTTTGTCATTTTTTTTTAAAATGAATACAGGTAGTGATCATACAACAACTCCAAGACACTTTCTACGTGATCTTGAAATGAAACCTCGACAAGAAGATGAACAGTAGAAATATGCAAATCATCAGATTTCCAATTTATTCTGTGTTTATTTATTTTTCTTTTTCTTTTTTTTTCCATTGAAACAAAACATTTTTATTCTCTATTATTATGTCATTCTATTTATAATCTTGTACACAGAGCTTTTCGTTTGTTTGTGTAGATTGTTCCATGCGGATATTTAATTTTGGCGTTTTTCTTTCTGTCTATCTCTCTATTGGTTTTTATTAATCAAATATATCTTAAATATATTCATAAATCAAACTAATCTTGTGCAATTTTTATTTGTCTAATGTTTGTAGTATACGCATATATATATACAAACAGATTTCTATTAAAACGAACAGTGTTTCTAAACGATTTCCTTTTTTTTTCTTCTTCTTCCTTAGTGTATTTGTGTACTCATTTGCCTCTATTTATTTATACACATCTTCGTATTTTTCTTTCTTCTTTTTGTTGCTTGTGCACAGCAAATATATGTGTTCTAGAGATGAATTAATCAAATAAACAAAAAAAAAAAATTAATCACAATGTAATGGATGTGTCTTTTAATTTTATGTGATACAAAACTCATAGAATTCATTGAAAGGAAATTTATTAATAATGACAATGTGTGTTTGTTTTTTTTCTCATATGGATTTATGGTTGAAACACACTCGGAAATGGAATTGTTCGAGAATAAATAATATAATTATCGTGCAGAACGATTAGAAACAAGTTTTGTTATTGGTTGTGTTCTATTGAGAATATTTCGATTATATGTTACTGAAATGATTATATATTTGATTGATTTGATTTTATAAAAGAATAGATACAAATTGATCAAACATATTAAATCCAACAAAAGTATGAGAAATTAAATTTTGGATTATAAAAAAAAATAAAATAACAATTAATATTAAATTAAGTTATCGAATTAAAATGAAATATACCATGCTATATCAATATTTTTATATAATAACAAACTGTATCAAATACTCCATAGAATAGTGAAGTTTTTTTAAAATCAGAATCTCTTAGGATGTTTTTTTTTTGCTTATTCAATAATCTAAAATTTCATATTTTTTAGATTTATTATGAAATAAATAACGTTCTTACATCTCAAGTAGGATAAATTTTATTCCAGATCAAAAATTAAAAGACAAAAAAAAAAAAAAGACTCTAAACATTTCGGTAAATCTATATTGAAAAATCTCCATATTTATTGAATATTGATTTTAAATTTAACACTTAATAAATGAGCTAAATATAGATATATATGTATTAATTGTAGTATTAAAAAATTAATAATAAATTTCATTTGTTTATTTTTATATTGTTTATAATTAATAATTAATATAACATTAAAAGTTCCTATAAGAAGTCCAATAAATGCAATATAATTAAAATAATTTGTATGAAATTCTATTCTAAGAAAAATACTCATAGAAAATAGAATATAACATATCAAAGAACATATAAGCATAGTAGAAAAATTAATAGATTCAATAGTAAAAAATGGATATTCATTAATACTAATAACGAAAATAAAACATGAATAGATAATAAAATAAGGTATTGTAATATAATAACCTAAATGAAAGAATTTAGATAATTAATAATTTCAATAGATTTCATAGTCACGAGCTTCTCGTTTTGTTCTTTTAAATATAAGTTCTAATGAATTATATTGAGAGAAGATAAGGACTAATAACATAGATTCAATTAATAGAAATATTTAAAAATCACATAAAAGGATATACAAATTATCGCGATAAGCCTACGATCGCAACTACAGAAACAAGAATTTTTTTAATTAGAAATCACTTTAAAAGAGTAATAAAGAAATCAAGTTGTGTTAAATGAAGTTATAATACAATTAGTTAACATGTTCGGATCGCAAGTATTAGCATTACATTCGAGCTCTGCCTCCTGTAGCATCATATTTATATAATCTTGGTTTGTTATATATATCTTAAGTTACTTCCTCATGACTCATGTTATTTCAATTCATTGTTTTCTTCATAAAGTTATTAATAACTGAACGATTTAGTCAAACAATCTATATAGTTATTAATTGTATTAGTTAATAGATGATGCATGAAATAAACAATTAAGTATTTAGTGATGATATTTAACTCTAATATATGAAAAAAAAAATTTCCTTCGAATAAGAAAGTTGAAATGAATTATATAGCAAATTTTAGTGAATAAATTTCTTGACCATTAAATAGATTTTTAATTAATTACCTTAGAGAATAAATTAATACAAATGAATACTACAGATTTTATTTTTCTTAGTGAATAATCATTTTGATTTGTAAGATTTTCTTTGAAAATAATCTTCAATGGTTCTAAGACTTCACTTGTCTATCATTCTCTTTTCTTTGAGAGATAAAACAAGTGTTGTTACACTCATCTCAATTAAATTTTTATAATGATTTTGTGAAACACAATTTAAAAGGAATATTGAAGTTTTTTTTTAAAAACCCATCGAACAATTTTAGTCGCCGTGGTCACTATGAGTGGCTGAAATTTTCCCAGTAGGGCATTCGCGAACGACAGAAGTCCGTAATGTGTAGTCGAAAGGAATTGTTATTAATCCGAATATAATTCATGGTCAAATTGGCGAAAGTCTGGAACTCCACCTTAAATTTCTATTAGAAATAGCAGCTACATCATGTTTTGCATTTTAAGTCCTCACGGATTGCGTTAATAGCGTTCATTGTTAAATCGAATTTTCTAAAATACTAACCTTCGTCTATTGTATAATCTTTATATGTATAATTAATACTTAAACTAAGTGTAATAATCAGTAAAATTGAAATAATAATTCTAATTGATTGTCCGATTGATAATATATTTATAAAAATCAAACAAAATGAAAATCCCATTGCTATTATACTTAATATTTTCGATTGAATATTTTCAAAAATTTTCGATATTATAACTATTTCATTTTGTAAATAAACTGAAGTAAATATTGGTAAAAGTTGTAGACTAGCTAGACCAAATATAGTAAATATATTTTCCATAAATAAATTCTAATCATCATGATTTATTATAAAATCGATTCGAAATAAACATTAACAAACTTAATTTTAAAAAGCGCTATTGATTTTTTTTAACAAGAAAAAAGAAAAATTCATTCCCAAAAAAAAGACAGATCAATACAAGCAGAAAACAAAAGTATTTAGATTAGAGTATACGTATATAAATTTTACGAAATTTTGATTAATCATATCTTTTATGCATGATAATCTCCTGATGATCGAGAAGTTATATGTTGTAGTATTGATGAAATAATATTTTTTGTATTTAAGACACTTTGTTTTGCTGTTAAATATTCATCTCGATAATCATTTCTTCTCAATGGATCATTATTTATTTCAGATTCCACCCAAACATTACGTGCTTGTATTCGATATCCATCTCGATCTTTTGATATTTTATCAATATAAGCAGGATCATCCTTAAATTTATGTTGTCGTTGATCTATTCGACCATTATCATGACGCATCATTGCTTCACGATCAGTTTCAATACGAGTTTTAGCTAAGCGTTTTGGTGCTGCATATGCATCTGTTGCTGTTGCTGCACGATCAACTATTACAGAATCATCAAAAAGTAATGGAGGATTTGAACGTGATGAATATTGATTATTTTGTTGATCATTTATTGTATATTTTAGTTTTAATTCAAACGTGCTATATCATGTGCATGATCACCTGCTTCATAAGGATCATAATGAAGATGAATAATTGATAGATCAGGACGTTGAGATACTTGAGGTGTAACATATATATGAGGAATTTGTTGATTTTTATCATATAAAGGTAAAATTTTATGATCATCAGATATTGAATGAATACGACAGCGTTTTTGACGTTCACTTTTTCACTTTCAGTTGTTTGTGGCATATGACGAGGTGAATGAATAGAGACAATATCATCTGCTGGTTGAATATGAATTTTTGGAATATCATGTTCAAAAGCTTGATTATCATAATGACTTAAACTTGAACGATTATTATCTAAGACGGAAAACTATAGCAAGAAGTAGATTGAGCTTATATTGAATCCACAAGAAGGTCCCGATAACAATAGAAAAGTCCTCAAAGAATTCATGCCTATGGGTCACTGAAGCTGAGTTATGATCCGGTTTCCTGAATTTTCGATCCAACTTTAGGTATTTACCAAAAAAAACAAATAATAGAATTTCGACTTGAAACTTTGCATATAGATAGGCCTAATGGCTCTAGAAATATCCTGAAAATTTCAGTCGAAAAGGATGTTCCTCTATCAAGACATCGAATTTTCAAGCAAACAACGATTTTTTTGGAAATTCAATATCTCGATAAAGAAGCATCCTTTTCGATTAATATTTTCTAGATATTTCCAGAGTTCTTAGACCTATATTTGGACAAAACTTCAAATCGAAATTCTGTTGGTTGATTTCTCGCTGTATACCTACAGCAGCATCGAAATTTCAGTAAAACGGTCATAATTTGACTTCAGAAACCTATGGGCCCGAACCCTTTGAGGATTTTTCTAGTCTTACCGAAACCTACTTGTGAGTGCAATATAAGTTCAAACGGTGGGTATAATTTCTGTTAGTTCTTTCGTAAGCTTTTAGTGAACTCTTTCGATTAATGAAGATTAGGTTTTCTCTGCTTGATAAAAAAATCTCTAAATGAATCTATCGATGTGATCTGGTTGACTTATCCCTAATGGCCTAATTAAAAGTCGTTGAGTCGGACAAATTGTATTTTGCTACGATCGTCACTATCAGATCAAATCCGATCAATTAAGCTGTTTGTACTGTCAAAATCCTAGTTGCATCGCTAGTTAAATCCAACCAATTATAACTTCATATTTGTATTCTAGATTTTAAAATGAGTTCTATACTCGTATTTGGTGCAGCTTGCCTTGATTATATAGCTCAAGTTAATCATTTTCCTCGACCAGATGAAAAACTTCGTACAAATTCATTAACAATATGTGGTGGTGGTAATGCTAGTAATACAGCAACATGTCTTAGTCGTTTAGATATTAAATTAAAACTTCTAACAAAAATTGGTAATGATTTAAATGGTGAAAAAATCTTGAAAAATTTTCAAGAAGAAAAAAATATTGATACATCATTGATTCTTATTGAATCATCAATCACAAGTCCTTCAACATATATTATTGTTGATATGGAAACAAAAACTCGAACATGTTTATATAGTGCAAATAATGAACAAATACTTATTAATGAGATTAATCCAAATTGTTTAGATAAAATAAATTTTATTCATTTTGATAGTCGTTCAACAGAAGCTGCTCTGCTATTAGCAAAATTAGCTAAAGAAAAATCTATTTTATGTTCACTTGATCTTGAACGTGATAGACCTTTTCTAAATCAATTAATTCCACTAGTAAATTATATAATTACAACAGAAAATTATTCACTGAATGTATGTAAAGATTCATCTTTAATACAAACAGCTATACGTTTTCTTCAAACTTGTCAATTTGTTATAATAACTCGTGGTAAAAATGGAAGTATTCTTGTTGAAAAACAAAATAAAAAATTATTTAATCCAATTGAAAATATAAATAATCATGGAAGTATTGTTACACAAGAAATTGTTCATATTAATGAAGAAGATTTTCTTATATGGAATTGTACTGCATGGCCTATTCAATTAGAAGATATTATTGATACAACAGGTAGTGGAGATGCATTTATTGGTGGAATTATTTATGGACTTTTAACAAAAGAATTTTGGTCTAGAGATAAATTACTTCGTTTTGCATCTTATATAGCTATGTGTAAATTAAAAGGTATTGGAGCATGTTCTTCATTACCTTATATTTCTGATATTGATATGAATTTATTTTCATAATAAATATTTATTTGATACAGATGAATCTTGAAATTTAAGAAAAGACAGATAATGAAAATAATAGAATTTTTCTTGTGAACAAATTTTATTTCTTCAAAGTTCAACATCATTTTGACAACGTATTCCATGAGATGATGTACTAGCATCAACTAATAGATCATTTTGAATTAATGCATGAATAGTCTTTTCAGATGTTAGTTTTTCTTTTGTTGATTCATTTGAAACAGTTTTACAATTCTATTTAAAAGAAAAAGAGATGAACGTATTTTTTGTTTTTTATTTTTGCATGAAAATTCTGAAAAGAATTTCGAAGAGTGTGGGTGAGATATAGATGAAATTAGCAACCGATGCGAGTAATTCCAGTAGCAATTCGTCCACGATGCGTTCCAGATGTTCTCATTCATGTTCCAAGTACACTGTCACATGTTCTGCCGAATACCTCAAGCAGACTGACGAGATCGCAAACTATACTTTTATGAATTGAAAAATACTGGTTTTTTTCTATAGGCAATAGGGAATCCACTAAAACCGAGAGCAAGATCTAGACACATCATGGGCGAATTGGTGCTGATATTATTCTGAGGTTCTTCGGTAACTTATGATGAAAAACCAGTATTTTTCAATTTGTGAAAGTATAGCTTGAGATCTTGTCAATCTGATTGCGACATTCGATAGAGCAAGTCGAAATCTACCTGGAATCTGAATGAGAATATCCGGAATGCATCGTGGGCAAATCGCTACTGGAATTACTCGAATCGACTCTTTAATAAAAAATTTATCTCAGAACCGGGGCTGATTTGGGCTCTGCGGATAGTACAGGCCGCTCAGATGCATCAAGTTACCTAGTGTGCGATGAAACGCAATCAATTCTGAGAGCTCTAATCAACTTGAAAAATATTCAATCATTTTGATAGAATACATCGTACACCACCTTTAAGAAAAAAAAACGACCTTTATAGAGCACATTATACCGATCGCTATACCG